GGAGGGTCCAAGCTGAGGCTCCGTGCAGTGGCGTATTTACCACAGGGCAAACAAGGCATTTGCCTAGGGTGGCATTTTTCAGGGGGGCAGCATTGTCCCCAATGAAGGAGGGATGGAAGAAGGGATGGGGACCAGGTGGGATCTGGGAGAGGCTGTGGGCTGCTTGATTCTCATTCCCAGGGATGTCCAGAGCTGTGAAGGTGAGTGGTAGTGGAAGACTTTCTCGGGTGGGGGTAAGGAGGCGGGGTGTTGTTGGTCAATGTCAGGCTCTCTCAACGGGGGTGGTGTTGGTTGCTGTCAGGCTCTCTCCCGAGGGGAATTTTGTGTTGCCTAGGGCAGCACAAAACCTAAATACACCACTGGCTCCGTGTGTGAATGGACACATGGAGCAGCGGGTGCCCCCACAGCCAGCTGTTTGCTGTGGGGGCACCCAACAGGAGAGAGGGGGCCAGTAGCACTGGAGGGGAACCCGAGAAAAGGAGGATCCAGGCTTTTCTGTGCAAAACCACTGCACACAGCAGGTAAGCATGATGCAGTGGTGTCCCAAGGCAGGGTGACACCTACCGAACGGTGCGCCCTTCACTCCGCTCTGCTGCCCAGGAAAACCAGCGACTGTTCCTCCAGGGGGCAGCGCTCCCTTCACTCCACTCTGCTACCCAGGAGAACCAGCGGCCATTCTTCTGGGGGGAAGGCACTCCCTTCACTCTACTCTGCTACCCAGGAGAACCAGTGGCCATTCTTCTGGTGGGCCGCGCTCCCTTCACTCTGCTCTGCAACCCAGCAGAACCAGCAGCCATTCTTCTGGGGGGCAGCATTCCCTTCACTCCACTCTGCTACCCAAGAGAACCAGCGGCCGTTCATCTGGGGGGGTGGCGCTCCCTTCACTCCACTCTGCTACCCAGCAGAACCAGCAGCCATTTTTCTGGGGGTCGGCATTCCCTACACTCCACTTTGCTAACCAGGAGAACCAGCAGCCATTCTTCCTGAGGGGCGGCGCTCCCTTCACTTCGCTCAGCCGCTCAGCCCTGGTGATAAGTAGAACCAGCAGCCTTTCTTCCGCCGTCCCCCTGAAAGATGCCGCCCAAGGCAAATGCCTTGTTTGCCTCTCAGCAAATACACCCCCTGACATGGAGCAGTATAAAGTTTCCGTTAAATGAAAAGGGAGCTGTAAAGCAATCGGCGTGTGCTGTACTGTCTCTTTAGGTAACCCATAGAACTCTGGGAATCCTTTGCCACATATTAAAGGTTATTTGTAAAACAAAAATTATACAAAAGATTATAAAATAACAGTTTTACAAAATATAGAAATGAATACATGTCATTATAGTTTCCCTTGAATACCTTTAGTCATTTTTTGCTTTGTAACTACCATTCTAAGACACTATTTGCAGTAAAAAAAAGACACTCCATAAAGGTCCCAAACATAATATGAACTGCTATTTCTTTTCTTTCCGAGGAAATCGTTTTGAAAGATCTAGATAGGTTTTGCTCAGCCCACAAAGCTATACGTGACAAGGCGCTATACAAACAAAGAATTTGTCAGTATGCAAATCATTACTGACAGTTAGCGTGCAAAATCAAATCAAAGCTCTTTGACATTTACGTTGACCATGATCCTATCTCTTCTGATTATTTGAAGCAGTCCAATGAGAATATCGTGAAAAGGAATGAAGAGAAACAGGAGCAGCATGCTACCTACAGTATATATATTGGAGGCTGCTGAGACAGCTGTAGAGCAGTTATCTCCGGATGGACAGGACATGATGCTCAGGTAGGGTGTTCAACTTCTTACAGATTTCAGTGGATTGCGGAGGAAAAGCTTATCCTTGTTTAATGTAAATGTTTGGAGAAAAATATTTCTAAATTTATTATTGGAATAAAGACTTTGCATGACATTTGTTAAAAGGGAAACATTCGGTCGGTTCTTAATGATGTGTTTACTCCTTGCTAATTCCACCAAATTTCATGGCACAACACTTCGCCATCATCAGGTCGAGCAATAACCGTAGGGTGAGGGATCCCATCCTCGACTGTAAGTTGGAACCCAAGTAGGTAAGTACAGATCATGCAGCTTGAAAAAAGATAGCTTAAAGCAGTGGTTCTCAACCTGTGGGTCGCGACCCCTTTGGGGGTCGAACGACCCTTTCACAGGGTCCCCTAAGACCATCAGAAAACACATATTTCCGAAGTGTAAAGAGCAGCTACTGTGTAGAAAGCAGCTGCTGTGTTGAAAGCAGCTACTCTGTTAAAAGCAGCTACTGTGTTGAAAGCAGCAGTATTGGAAGTAAAACGACACTTCATGAATTATAATTACTGGATAAATAATTTTATGGTTGGGGGTCACCACAACATGAGGAACTGTATTAAAGGGTCACGGCATTAGGAAGGTTGAGAACCACTGGCTTAAAGTATTACTAAACCCTCAACAGTGTAATCAGTCTGTAGATGCAGTAAAGCGTGCTTGTTATACTCACTGTGGAACCTAAGGGGTTAATCCTCCGCATTGTGTAAAAAGGCTGTTTGATCCTGTCTTCTCTGCACCTCTTCTTCTTCAAATGTCCACCTCTTATCTCCTGATAAGACAGACTGAATCGGTAGCCATTCTGCACATGCTCAGTTTAGTGTGTATTGCTAGAGAGGTTGTTTTTTTTTTCTTGGGAGAGTAAATGTGATTAGCACAGGGCCAATCAGCACTGTCCAGACAGAGGGTCAGGGGTTCTGCATCCTTCTAGAGCAGAATGAAAATTCCTTCTACAAGCTTTAGCTAATGCTTGGCTGGACACTGATAGAAGTCACAAGACTGATGAGAAAAGGATTTTAGCAGTTTATATTTACTAAAATAATTGCATTTCCTTGTTCTGTGTACTGTGGGAGACTGGATATAATCAATGCAGGGTCCGGGGAGGCCACATAGAGTGAATGCAGGGTCCAGGGAGAGCGGATATAATGAATGCAGGGTCCGGGGAGACCAGATATAGTGAATGCAGGGTCCGGGGAGACCGGATATAGTGAATGCGGGGTCCGGGAGAGCGGGGGAATGCAGGGTCCGGGGAGACCAGATATAGTGAATGCAGGGTCCGGGGAGACCAGATATAGTGAATGTAGGGTCCGGGGAGACCAGATATAGTGAATGCAGGGTCCGGGGAGACTAGATATAGTGAATGCAGGGTCCAGGGAGACCGGATATAGTGAATGCAGGGTCCAGGGAGACCGGATATAGTGAATGCAGGGTCCAGGGAGACCGGATATAGTGAATGCAGGGTCTGGGAGAGCAGATGTGAAAGCAGGGTCCAGGGAGACCGGATATAGTGAATGCAGGTACGGGGAGAGCAGATATAGTGAATGCGGGGTCCGGGGAGAGCAGATATAGTGAATGCAGGGTCCAGGGATATAGTGAAAGCAGGGTCCAGGGAGACCGGATATAGTGAATGCAGAGCCCGGGGAGAGCGGATATAGTGAATGCAGGGTCCGGGAAGGGGAGAGCAGATATAGTGAATGTGGGGTCCAGGGAGACTGGATATAGTGAATGCGGGGTCCGGGGAGAGCGGATGTAGTGAATGCGGGCTCCGGGGAGAGAGCGGATATAGTGAATGCAGGGTCCGGGGAGAGCGGATATAGTAAATGTGGGGTCCGGGGAGAGCAGATATAGTGAATGTGGGGTCCGGGGAGACCGGATATAGTGAATGCGGGGTCCGGGGAGAGCGGATATAGTGAATGGGGGTCCGGGGAGAGCGCATATAGTGAATGCAGGGTCCGGGGAGAGCGGATATAGTGAATGCAGGGTCCGAGGAAACAGGATATAGTGAATGCAGGGTCTGGGGAGACCGGATATAGTGAATGCAGGGTCCGGGGAGAGCGGATATAGTGAATGCGGGGTCCGGGGAGAGCGGATATAGTGAATGCAGGGTCCGGGGGGGAGAGCGGATATAGTGAATGCAGGGTCTGGAAAGACCAGATATAGTGAATTCAGGGTCCGGGGAGAGCGGATATAGTGAATGCAGGGTCTGGGGAGACCAGATATAGTGAATGCAGGGTCCAGGGAGACGGGATATAATGAATGTAGGGTACGGGGAGACCAGATATAGTGAATGCGGGGTCCGGGGAGAGCGGATATAGTGAATACAGAGTCTGGGGAGACCGGATATAGTGAATGCAGGGTCCTGGGGAGAACTGGATATAGTGAATGCAGGGTCCGGGGAGACCAGATATAGTGAATGCGGAGTCTGGGGAGACCGGATATAGTGAATGCGGGGTCCGGGGAGACCAGATATAGTGAATGCAGGATCCGGGGAGACCGGATATAATGAATGTAGGGTACGGGGAGACCAGATATAGTGAATGCGGGGTCCAGTGAGAGCGGATATAGTAAATGCAGGGTCCGGGGAGAGCGGATATAGTGAATGCAGGGTCCGGGGAGACCAGATATAGTGAATGCTGGGTCCGGGGAGACAGGGTTCCGGATATAGTGAATGCTGGGTCCGGGGAGACCAGATATAGTGAATGCAGGGTCCGGGGAGACCAGATATAGTGAATGCTGGGTCCGGGAGAGACCCGGGGAGACCAGATATAGTGAATGCCAGGGAGCGGATATAGTGAATGCAGGGTCCGGGGAGACCAGATATAGTGAATGCCGGGGAGACCAGATATAGTGAATGCTGGGTCCGGGGAGACCAGGATATAGTGAATGCAGGGTCCGGGGAGAATGACCAGATATAGTGAATGCTAGGGTCCGGGGAGACCAGATATAGGGAATGCAGGGTCCGGGGAGACCAGATATAGTGAATGCGGGGTCCTGGAAGACCAGATATAGTGAATGCAGGGTCCAGGGAGCGCGGAATAGTGAATGCAGGGGTCCGGGGAAGAGCCAGATATGAATGCAGGAATATAGTGAATGTAGGGTCTGGGGAGACTGACAGATATAGTGAGTGCTGGGTCCGGGGAGACCAGATATAGTGAATGTATATAGTGAATGCCAGATATAGGGCAGGGTCCGGGGAGACCAGATATAGTGATGCGGGGTCCTGGAAGACCAGATATAGTGAATGCGGGGTCCTGGAAGACCAGATATAGTGAATGCGGGGTCCGGGGAGACCAGATATAGTGAATGCAGGGTCCTGGAAGACCGGGGGAGACCAGATATAGTGAATGCAGGGTCCGGGGAGAGCAGATATAGTGAATGCAGGGTCCGGGGAGACCAGATATAGTGAATGCAGGGTGAATGTAGGGTCGGGGAGACCAGATATAGTGAATGCAGGGTCCGGGGAGAGCAGATATAGTGAATGCAGGGTCCGGGGAGACCAGATGCAGGGTTGCGGGGATAGTGTGAAGAGCAGATGCAGGGTCCGGGGAGAGCAGATATAGTGAATGCAGGGGTCCGGGGAGACCAGATATAGTGAATGCAGGGTCCGAGACTTAGTAACACTTTAAACTTAAATCCAGCCAAAACCTTTTTTATCATTGGACAGTATGAGCAAAAGGTAGTACCGCTGATGTGTTTTTTTGCTGTTTCCTGTATGTACATTTGGGAGATCTATCTTTAATTCCTGTCTTTTGGAGAGGTTTCAGACAGGATTTAACCATTAGCCGCCCGGCCAATGGCCGTTTGGCGGCTTGAAAAGCGCTGCAGCTTTCCGGGTGCATGCCATTTGGCGTGCTCCCGCACATGCGCCGTTTGCGCTATTGCAGAGCGGCGCAGCAGCGGGATCTGTCACCGCCCGTGCACCTCGGACACGGCCGATGACAGATCCGAGTACCGGCTCCCTTTGCCGGTACCATGTGACCTGCCGCGACCAATCACAGCAGGTCACATGACAGTTGTATACAATGGATGGCTTCATTCATGATGCCATCCATTGTATACTAGTGCCTAGCTGTGAATGGTCACAGCTAATCACATGCACATGTCATGTGATTAGCTGTGACCAAATCACAGCTAAGCACAAAAAAAAAAAAAAAAAAAAAAAAAAAGCTGAATGAATCGATTTCATTCAGCTAAATGCTTGCTTATAGCAAAGTAATTCTTTTGCTATAAGCAAATTGTGTAAAAAAAAAAAAAAAAAATACTGATCACTTCCCCAAAGTAGTACAATGTTACTATGGTAACATTGTACTATTTTGGTCATAGTAAAATATGAAAAAAAAATCTTAAAAAAAAAAAAAAAAAATGTAATAAAAAATTAAATATAATAAAAAAATAAAAAAAATTTAAAAAAAATATAATTTTTTTTTTTTTTTTCATACTGTCACCAGTCAGTGTCCCTGTTCACCGCCATGCCAGGTATATGATGACGCTGTACTGCACTGGTGACAGTATGTAAAAAAAAAAAATAGTGAAAATAATATTTTTCATTTTTTCATTTTCGGAAAAATTATGACAAAAAAATACAACTTCAAAAAACTCACCATGCCTCTTATGAAGTACGTCGGACTGTCTACTCTGCAAAAAGGGGTCATTTGGGGATATCTGTACTATTCTGACATTCTTGGACCTCAAGAAATTAGATTGGCTGTCAGTACTTCAGGATCGATCAATATTCAGATCTATACCATAGTTTGTGAACTCTATAACTTTCCTACAAACTAAAAAATACATCCTAATTTGGGTTATTTTCACCAAAGACATGTAGCAGAATACATCTCGGCCTAAATTTATGAAGAACAATTATTTATTTGTAAACTTTTATAACAGAAACAAAGAAAAATGTGTTTTTTTTTCAAAATTTTTGGTCTTTTTTTGTTAATTTAGCAAAAAATAAAAACCAAATACCACCAAAAGAAAGCTCTAGTTGTGTGAAGAAAATGATAAAATTTTAGTTTGGGTACAGTGTTGTATGACCGCGCAATTGTCATTCAAAGTGTGAGAGCGCTGAAACCTGAAAAATGGCCTGGGCAGGAAGGTGTAAAATTGCCCGGTATTGAAATGGTTAAAGTTCGTTGTTAACAAATTTAATATATAACTGAAGACAAAACTTTGCTGACTCTTTGCTGAAGAGTCCACTCCATCTGGTGAGTGGGGATAGAGCATTTATCACGGATGGTGTGAGCACATTTGTTTGAAGAATTTTTGGAGCACGTTTCTTTTTGGGATTGAGCACAATTTATATATATTTTTTGTGTGGACTTTAGATTTTTTTGGGACTTTATCATATTTTTAATTTTCACATATAATTTATTTGCGCTGTGGAGTGTTTACAATTTTAACGATTATTATTGCCTTACAAAAAGGGTCGTGCAAGAGAGCCTGTTGTTGAATTAAAACCTGATGTGGCCTTCTTTTGACTAGGTGAGAAACATCCGGGTTCTTGCGTAAAACTATTGACAATGGAAAAACCCAACGTTTTTTCTAAGGGCTTCTACACTATTATCCTTCTACTTGTGCTAGGTAAGTCCAAATTTATCCTGCGATTCTTTTGATGATGTCACTTTTTCTGGATTGACCTGTTATTAATCCATCCTTACCTGTTGTTTTTGGTGTTTTTTTGCCATCTTTGTCCCATTTGGGCAATTTACCTTTTTTTCCAACAGGAAGTAGAATCTCTGTAGAGCAGCGGTTCTCAACTTGTGGGTCGTGACCCCTTTGGGGCACAAATGACCCTTTCACAGGGGACGCCTAAGACCATCGGAAAACACATATTTCCGATGGTCTTAGGAACCGAGACACCACTCCTCTATCCATCTCCAGGCGGGTCCGTCCACATGCAGATACGCCCACATACGAGTACCTGGTGTGATGACATCATCGCGCCAACCCCATCACATACACCCCCTACAAATACAGGTGTATGTCACAGGGTTGGCGCCATAATGTACTTATGTGGACCAGTCACACATGTGTAAAGAGCAGCTACTGTGTTGAAAGCAGCTGCTGTGTTGAAAGCAGCAGTATTGGAGGTAAAACGACACTTCATGAATTATAATTACTGGGTAAATGTAAAATCACGTACTGTAAAATCATCAACTACTGCAAAAAAAAACATCCTGCATATCAGATATTTACATTACGATTCATAATAGTAGCAAAATTACAGTTATGAAGTAGCAACAAAAATAATTTTATGGTTGGGGGTCCCCACAACATGAGGAACTGTATTAAAGGGTCGCGGCATTAGAAAGGTTGAGAACCACTGATCGAGAGGAAGGTAAAATTCAGCCTTAGGCAGCTGTCAATAGAACGGGTGTCACCATTGAATGATTTCCTCTTACTTCCTTTTCTAGTGAACAGTGTAACATTTTGGGTGTCCCATCACTTATTGTCCTAGTGGTCAATGGTCACCAACACAAAAAGCAAAAAAAAACCCAACAGAGATTGTAACCCACAAGAAAAAGCTCCCTTACAGTAGAACGAAGGGCAATTTTTTTTTTCATTTTGGATAGAGTTATGCAGGCCCATAGATGGGGAGAAATCCGGCCGATTTTTCTTTAAAAAATCGGTCGTTCAATCGGCCGACGTTACCAGGAACGGTAAAAAAAAAACGGCCGATTTTCATCCCGTCTACAGCTGGCAAAAAGTGTCTCTGCAGAGAGCTCCGCTATTTCTTTGACATTTATAGCGGCTGCAACATTGTATCTATTTGTATCCATTTCGGATACAGATGTTTTTATTCGGAAACGAATAGATACAATGTTGCAGCCGCTATAAATGTCAAAGAACTGTCAAAGAAATAGCGGAGCTCTCTGCAGAGGGACACTTTTTGCCGGACTGGAATTCTTCTTCTTCTTCTTCTTCTTCTTCTTTCCTCGTCTTCATCCTCTTCTTCTTCTTCTCCATCCTCTTCTTCTTCTTCCTCTTCATTCCTCTTCTTCTTCATCCTCTTCTTCTTCTTCCTCTTCATCCTCTTCTTCTTCTTCATCCTCTTCTTCCTCTTCTTCTTCCTCTTCTTCTTCATCCTCTTCTTCATCCTCTCTTCTTCCTCATCCTCTTCTTCTTCTTCATCCTCTTCTTTTTCCTCTTCTTCTTCTTCATCCTCTTCTTCTGCTTCATCCTCTTCTTCCTCCTCTTCTTCTTCATCCTCTTCTTCATCCTCTTCTTCCTCTTCTTCTTCCTCTTCTTCTTCTTCTGCTTCTTCTTCCTCTTCTTCTTCTTCATCTTCTTCATCATCTTCTTCTTCTTTTTCTTCTTCTTTTTGTTTTTCTTTTGCAGGTCACTGCTCATGCGCAGGGTTTTTTTACCGGTAAAAAGATCGGCCGATTTGCCCATAATTGCCGTGAAAATCGGCCGATCCTTTTCCAACTTTACCGATAAAAAAAATCTGCCAAATACCGAAAAAACAGCCGACCAATTAACCCACTAACGATCCAAAAATCATCCGATTTTATTTTCGGCCGAAAAATCGGCCAATTTTCGACCCATCTATGGCCTGCATTAGGCAGGTTATACTTCCTTCAGCTCTTTTTTTGCCAGCTGTGTCCCATTGGGAAGATTTTTCTTCACTTTCTGTTACATAGCCAAAACAGAGAGTGAGAGGAAATCCCTATAAAGTGAAGGAATCCTTGGTTGACACCAGATCTCCCCTCTGCTCCTTTTTTTTTATTATGGTGTGTTGTCGACTGTTCTTTCTGCTTCTCTAGAGCAGGGGTAGGCAACCCCCAGGACTAGTGCCAGAGATGGCACACGACAGCATCAAGGATGGCACCCAAGGGGAGCCCTGGGAGACCCACCTTCCAAACAAAAAAGCTGGTCAATGGCTGCACGCAGAAGAAGCAGCACGGCTGGTGCCTACCCACCTCTATTTCCGCTGGTGTCGGTTCCTGCATTGCTCTGTCCACACTGAAGCAATGTGGAGTCAGATTCGCCAGGCTACTTGTTATCACTTTGAAAGGATAATTATATTCAGTATTTTTCATCCTCTATGGTACAGCACTCTTTTAGCTTGAGTCGGCTCATGGCCAGGCTTTTACTATCGGTGTCCCTGCGCTCCCTCCGATTATTTCTCTCCCTCAGCATCCATTAGCCTGGTTCAGCTTGGAGGGGATATAGTTACATAGTTACATAGTTAGTCTGCCTGAAAAAAGACAAAAGTCCATCCAGTTCAACCATTTAAAAAAAAAGTTATAATCCTACACCCATACAGCCAGAGAAGTTTATCTTCACATGGCTGAGGTGATCTGAGGTGTGAAGTGTATGATTTGGGTTGATCTGAAGTGTGATGGTGCAGTAATTGGGGTGATACGACCTGTAAGGGAGCAGGAATTGGAGATGATCAGAGGTGTAAAGGTGAAGGAATTGGGGTGAACCGAGGTCTGGAGGTGCAGAAATTGGGCATGACCTGAGGTGTGAAGGTTCAGAAATTAGGAGAGATCTGAGGTATGAAAGTGCAGAAATTGGAGCTGATCTGAGGCTTGGAGGTGCAGGAATTGGGGCTGATCTCAGGTTTAAAGGTGTAGGAACTGGGGCTGATCTGAGGTGTGAAG